CTCTCGAGATGTGCTATAAGAATATGCAATGAAAAATGGGGTGTTCCATTTAAAAAAATTAATGTGACCTTGACCTGACCTTCGCTACGCAACCCAAGGTCAAACTGATGTGATCAGTAAATACATCTTTTTAAACGCCACAACTTTTGTCTGAAACATTTTTTTGTAAAACTTATATTTTTCCTGATATTCGGGCGTCCCGGTACTTTCCGAACACCCTGTATTATAAATATATAATATAAACGACAAATTTCATGTATATATTTATAATATGTTATAATGATATATTGGTGCATATTCTTATATAATCTCATATATAATGTAAAATATATGCCTAATATCATACCTAATAGCCAAACATTTCTTTGTCCATTAAAAAATTGTTGTTCTAAATGTAACGATATAACTGAAGCATTCCACACGCATGAATCATGAGTTCTTCCTCCATGTGCACTATTGACTGCTAATATTTTTCCACTGAAATCGCTAACTTTACAAAACATTTTATAAGAAATAAAATTATGTTTTTAAATTATGTTATGTTTTTGTTTAGTAATTATACTTACTAGCATGACATTTAATGAATGATATAATTTCTGGTTTATATATAAACCCAGATAGCCAAACCTGTGCGAGCAGATTTTACGCAGAGTCTGTCAACAGTGTCTGTTGACAGAATGGCAACAGACTGCACACAGAAACTGTTTTAGCAGTCTCTGACGACAGATTGGTGACAGACTGCGCGCAGAGCCTGTCGACAGATTCTGACGACAGACTGACGGCAGATTGCGCGCAGATTCTGTTTCCTAGATAGGCTATTTAATTCTATTAAGGGCCATATGTACGTTATTAAATGGGGCAGTTTCACATACACACCATGCTGCAGAGAAGTCAAGATAATTATATTGTGCAATAATTGTACACATATACACAATAAAAAACAATGTTTATATTTTAAAATTGTATTACACATTTTTTATAAAAAAACAACAATAATAGAGAAATAACGAGTACAAGTATAGAATAGTACAACGGTTAAATGGCCATTTAAAGGCGTACACATGTCATTCCTGGTAAAAATTGTTCTCATAATTTTTCATACAATTTTTCATTTTATTATTTTAAATGTTGTTATGTCATTAAATCCGATTTTACCGTCATGCAATAAGTACTGAAGGCAGCAGCACCGAATAAAATATTAGTCTCGCTATGTAAATAACTTTTACAGAATTTTTTTGATGGTTTATTTAAAAATATATCATGCTTCGATTTTGATAAAACTTAATACAATCTGAACGGGACGATCGACCAAATTAATTCGCACATGTAAAAGTACAGTATTTTATTAACATGATAGAAAAATGTCATTATCTGCTGTTTTATTGCAGTAATTTTCTATACATTCCTTGGTAGAAAATTAATTTCGAATTATCGTACCAGTCTCTCTTACATTATTTATACGCTAAACGGTTTCGTCTATATTTTGCGGCTTAAAAGGCGAACAAACTATAATATTTTTCTTCCTTAAACTTTAAATGGACAATACAAAGCGCTTTTTATCAAGTGAGGAATTGGCGTAGTGTCTAAGGCGACGGACGATTATCCAAAAGATGTCTTCAGTTCAAGTTCGAATCTCACTAGAGAAAATATTAAAAATTATGAAAAAATAATGTAGAAAAATTTTTTTTGTCATAGTATTTTATGAGTATTTATGAGAAAGCGCTTATTCTATGAGTAATTATGAAAAATTATGAGAAAATTTAATTGAAAAACCTACGAAACGACAGGATCTGCGCGCAATCTGCCGCCAATCTGCCGTCATAGTCTGTCGACAGGCTCTGCGCGCAATCTGCCGCCAGTCTGTCGTCAGAGTCTGTTCGCAGACCCTGTCAACAGTCTGGCGGCAGATTGGGGACGCAGATGTCTATGGATCTGTCGACAGATCCTGCTCGGATTCGACAGATCCTGTCGACAGTCTGACGTCAGTCTGCGCGCAGATTGCTTACTAGGAATATTTCCTCTCTTTCTCTGGAGGCCAAATAGCTATATGAGTATCATCTACAGCACCTACTCCCGGAAAATTACAGTGAATCAAAAACCTAAAATAATAATTATTATTGTTAAAAATAGTTATAGTTATATTGTAATTATTTATTACAAACTTACTGTTGTTTAACCAACTTTATATCAAAATCTTTTGTTGGAAATTGAATCCATTGTCTCATGATTTGATTTAATGCTTATACAACACTATAAATCGTTCCAGATATCGACGCTTGGCATATATATGACAGAAAGTCCTGGCCGATACGACGTAGATATGAGCCAGAAGCGAAGAACTTAGACATGCTAAAATCTACGTAGAAAAAAATATTTATTATGTTGCTAATATAACTCTAAAAATATATAATATTAAAGATACAATACAATACATAAAATCAGTAGCATATACATATCATTTTTCATTTAAATACTGTGTATCTTTCTAATATGCTTATATTTTATTGTTTTTTTTTTTAATAGAGATAATGTTATCTGTAAAATATTCCTTGAGTATGGGTTTACCACCTCATTCGCCGTTCCCGCCGTTTAGATTGCCTACTGCGGCGGCCTCTTAAGCGTCTTCTACAATGGCAGTAGGAGTACTGGATTAAGGCTGTAAACGTTAGAGTAAGCTGGTATTTCTGGTGTATTAGGGTGTAGAGTAAGGCTGTAAGCGAAATGATTGAATTCCATTTCCTACTTCTTTACTCTCTACTTCTTTACTCTCAATCGATGAAAACTCATCATTACGTCACGAAAGCGCGCGCGATATAAGCTAGCTAGCTAGTGCAGTCAGATGGGGAAAGAGCCACTATGACAAGTCTGCAATCAAGAAAAGAGAGAGAGAGAGAGAGAGAGAGAGAGAGAGAGAGAGAGAGAGAGAGAGAGAGAGAGAGAAATTAAGTTAGTGCAATTATATGTTCTAACCTACAAATATGTCGGACACAGAGCTCTTTTTTGAAGAAGATATTAGCATTGATCGAGAGCTAATTGCTGTGGTTCGAGCAAATCGGTTTTTATACGACAAGACTGAAAAGTTGTATGCCAATGGAGACGTAAAAACCGAAGCATGGAAGCAGGTTGGCGCGAGCCTAACTAATCCAATAGAAGGTAAGTTTATTTTTGTTACTTGGAAATGTTAATATGGTTTTATAGCGATTTGTTGTTATAGGTTGCTTTCCAATAAGAGACACAAGTCGACACAAACATCATTCTATTTTTGTGTCACATTTAGTGAGAACAAAAATAGGATGATACTTGTGTCGACTTGTGTCTCTTGTTGGAAAGCAACCATAATATAGACAATGAATGAGGTGTCATATCAATAAAGGATATGTTAGGCAAGATGTAGGTTACGTTGTAACTTTGGTATACTATAAAAAGATAATATAACACCTGATAATTTGCATTTTACTGCAATGAAATTTAATATATTTGTCAGGTCCTGCTGCCGAGAAGAGATTTTATGTTCTGAGACAGCGCTTTGGGAAAGAGCGGAGAAAAATGGTGCAGTCCATGCCAAGATCTGGAGCTGGAGCAGACCAGTTTACATACAAATCAATGTGGCCATTATACAAGGACCTCATATTCTTGGAGGATATTATCAAACCTAGAAAGTAAGTGTTGTAGTCTGAGAAGTTTTGCATAACAAGTATCATTGACATAATTAATGATTATAATATACTTGCAGTACCTCATCCAACTGCAAGTCCAAAGTTGTTGTAAATAGTGAAGCATCAGTATGTCGTACAACTACCTCATTACCGTTTACATCTGCTCCTTCTGATGGTCATATGATAGTGCACACGATTTATCCTTTCTCTTCTCAGTCTGCTGCAGCAAGCTCAGACATGTCCAGTTGGAATTCAGATTCATTAACAAATCTTATAGGTAAGGAGATTAAAAGACTTATTGCATGTCCACAGTTTGTTGTAACATAATCTGAAGTATTCGTCTGTTGCATTTTTAGGTACTGACAAGAGTTTCACAGATACATCTGAAAACTCCTTTTTGCCACTTCCTACATCATCTCCTTCAACATCACCTTCAGTTAGATCAGACTTTGGAAGTAATAATACAGTTGTACAGGCGCAGAAAGCTATATCCAGCATTAATACTAAGCGCAAAGTGCCCACACTCGATTCATTTGCGAACAAAAAACGGCAAGAAGTAGATACTATCAATAAGACTTTAACCGAACAGAGTAAAGGATTGACAGACCTTGCAGCAAAGATTGGTAAAGCAATAACGGTTCCACCACCAAATGTTCCGCCAGCAATAGTCAGTGATGCATTTTCTGATATTAAGCCCATGCTGAGTGCCATAGGATTTGCACTAGGAGTAGTACCTAAGAATGTTCAACTTGAATGTCTCATAGGTATATTACAATATATAAATGATTTCAGTAAGAACAAAAGTGTATCGAATTAAGCATTAAGCAAATAAGTGATTGAGATAACCTGTGATTTTTACTAATAAGTTTTAAATATATATATACTGTGATTGTATTACGAATAATTATAATTAATATGATAATTTTATTAAAAAATGGAAAGAAATATTTTTTGTTTATATATATATGTATAAGATATTTTTTATTATTACTATAAAGAATAACGTGAAAATAGTTGTTTGTTGAACTTTGAACAAACTATGTATTAAAATAAAATACTATAAACATATTACTTATTTTAAAATAAGAAAATACATTACGTTAAATGTAAATGTTGGGAGCGGTGCACTTGGACACAGTACAATTGGACACGTTGCAAATGGACACGTTGCAAATGGACACGGCATTTGACACACAATTCAATTGGACACGATGCGTTTGGACACGAAAGAAAATGTACGTCGTTCAGTTACACACCGTTCATTTGGACACCGTTCAGTTGGACACCGTTTACTTGGACACAGTTCAGTTGGACACCGTTCAAGTGCCCACAGTTCACTTGGACACAGAAGGATGCTCACTGTTCACTTGGACACCGTTCACTTGGACACCGTTCATTTGGATACCGTTCACTTGGACACCGTTCACTTGGACACCGTTCAGTTGCCCACTGTTCACTTGGACACAGAACGATGCGTGCTGTTCATTTGTACACTGTTCACTTGGACACCGTGGAATTGCTTGTCTGTTCACATGGACACAGAAGGGTGCGCACTGTTCACTTGGACACCGTTCATTTAGACACTGTTCACTTGGACACCGTTCATTTGGACACAGTTCACTTGGACACCGTTCAATTGGACACCGT